AGACGAGCCGATTTTAAGGTTCTGCGCAGACAGACTGTAATTTGTATCATCTCTGATCAGAGATGAAGGTGGCATATGGACTTAAAGTGAAATAAAGCGCAGTTAACTTTTGCCAGGCCTGGTGGCGAGGGAGGAGGGGACCAGACACATTTCCATCGCCTGGGCGATGCTGGCATCCGCCATGGGGACAGCTTGTGCACCCAGAAGGAGGCCGCGGTGCAGTGCCACTTGGGAGGCAGGCTGTGTTTGTGCATCTCCTGTGTGTGGAGAAATGTGCTCAGCTGGTCGTGAGGCCCCGGGGAGGGGGCAGGACACACTCCTCAGGCCACCGTCCTGCTCGGGACAATGGGCTCCAGGTTCGGTGGCACCTCCTCCCCGGCCTCCTGAGGCAGCAGAAGAGCTTGATGGTTTTGGTATGAGCCCAGTTTTCTCCGGGGGGAGTATTTCTGAAACCCTCAGTGCCACTGAAGTACCCAGCAGGCTTTTGACCCCAGGCCCGTTCATTATTTGTGCATCTCTCTCCCTCATCGGACTGCAAGCTCCTTGAGGGCAGAGGTTGCAGGATCCTGGGACCCAAGTATGGGCCCCAAGGTTCTCGGGTTGGAAACTCGAGCCCAGTTCACGAGTTAAGGGCAGTTGGAGGCGTGAGCAAGTGGAGTCCAGGGCCTGGGTGTCCTGAACAAAGAATTGAGCAAGACACACACAGGAAAAGCCCGGATTTAATGAAGGTCAAGGTGGACGTAGCACTGGGTGAGGTAGAGCCGAGAGGGCTGAGCCGGAGACAGGCTTAAGGCCCCACATCTGGAAATCAGGGTCTGTGAGGTGTCTCTTTCCTCCATGGACCAGACTGAAGACCTCACTCCATTTGCTCCCGTTGGTTAGCTTCTGATCCCTGATTAGAATATTCTCGGATCCCCACTCCCATTGGTTACTTTAGAAAGCCTAATTAGAATACCATCCACTTTACCCCATTGGTCATTTAAGAATATTGAACCTGTGGCAGGAGTTGTCCTGGTGATAAGTCTTCAGTGGCACGGTAAAGGGGCTTGCCATAAACAAGAACCTGACTCCTCTTCCTGTTTTCATACCCTGCCTCCGCCATCTTGGTGCCCTCAACTACCTAACGCTGCGATGGCATTAATGGCTTTATAAAAAGAGGGGGACGGGAGCTGGCATGCTTGCTCTGTAGACCATGTGGAGTCTCTGCCCTGTTGGTGCAGCAAGAAGACCCTCACCAGACACCAAGCCAACGCCAGCATCGGCTCTTGGGCTTCCCAACCTCCAAACTGTGGTTCAAGTAAACCTCTATTCTTTCCAAATTATCTGATCTCAGGTATGTTGTTATAGTCACATAAAATTGATTATGGCCTGTGATGAATGATGCTGGGCATAACCGTGATGATGACGATGACATTTACCATGTACCTAGCATGGGACATGTGCCAGCTCCTGTGGGGCACCTCCCTTACATCTTCAACCCATTCAGTATCTCAACAGGCTAAGCATTGTTATTCTCATTTTACTAATAAACAAATTGAAGTGAAGAGAGAGCCAGTGACTTTCCTGAGGCCGCTCCATCCTTGGTGGCAGAGTTGGAAATGAATCCCAAGCATTCCTCCTCCCACGCCAGCCCTCTTCCCTCCAGGTCACTCTGTCTCCTGGGCTGCACTGGTGGCCAGCGATGTTGGCTGAAAGATGTGGTGTCTCGGCCACACCACCCCGAACGTGCCCCATCTCCTGTGGGTCTGTGACTTTTGACAGCTTGTGATTTGACCTTTCGGAACATCCAACTTCAGTGACCTTCTGCCTGATGGAAGACGGCAGTGACCCGTCTCCTGACCTTTCAGTGAACTTTAGTCTCGTTGGAGACTCGAGCTTCATTACCACGGTTCACAAAGAAAGGCAGGGAGCAGTCGTGGGACGCACTGCGAGGCAGGCAGTTAGCATATTTTATTGTATTTATCTTTCTATCATCATCATGACCGACCGATTTTTACAGATGAGGAAATAGTCTCAGGGAGGTCAAGTGAAAAATTTGCTCAGAGTCTTGCAGCTGATACGCAGCCACACTGAGATGGCACCCCAGGCTGCCTTATGATTTGACATCCCGGCCTTTACCAGTTGAGGGGCGTTTTGTGAGAGGTCAGGGACTCCAGGATCAACAAAACCAGAAAAATACCGCCCCCCTCCATGTAAGTTCTTGAACAGAAAGTCCTGCATTTCTGTTTCTCTCCTGGACAATCTAGTGGCACCTCAAACTCAAAATGCAGACAGATGGTCACATGTTTTAGTCTGTTTTCCACCCCTGGGTCAGATTGCCACAGACTGGCTACTTTATAAGGAACAGAGGTTTATTTAGCTCTTGATTTTGAAGACTGGCAAGTCCAAGAGCCCTGGCACCTACTGGGCATCTGGTGAGGGCCCCTTGTTGTGTCATAGTATGGCCAAGGGCGTGGTGGGATGGCGCACACGGGTGTCAGTTCCCGTCTCCCTTGCTCTTTTTATAGTGTCACTAGTGCTGTTACAGGGGCCCCACCCTTGTGACTTCCCAAAGCCCCCTTCAACCTGTGAATTTGGTGATTAAGTTTCCAACACATGAATGTTGGGGGACACATTCAAACCGTGGCATCATGGAACTAGCTCAGCCACCAGGAAGTGGTCAGCAGTAAGTGCAACCTACAGCACGTTGCCTGGAAGCCCCATATCTTAGTCCAGTGGCTCAAATACAGGCCAAGGTAGACATGCCCCGACTTCAAATCTAAGAATGCAGTTAAGGCCTGGGTCCTGCCCGGACCTCCTGGTGCACATCCTGTTCCGGAGGAAACAGATGCACTTCTGTCTCATCAAAGCCTCAGAATTTAGGGGTTTCTTCAAAGAGCAGTTTGATTGTCTCCTTTCCTCATCCCCCACCCCCATTTTTTGCTGATGGCTCCACTCAGGCTTAAACCTCGTGGTCCCCTTCAACATGTCCCATCTCTCTACCCTGGACCCCCCTAGATAACCTCAAAGCACTAGATATGCACTTGGAAAATAGAATCATCCAGAAAGCGAAGGCGATTCCCATCCCAATGCACAGAAAGAAACCTAGATGCGTTGACTACAAATTTCAGACATTTTAACAAATCCCATGGTTAATCTTGCCAGTTCTCTGAGTTAAAATTTTCAATGACCTTTGAAGGAAGTTCACTGTTGGCTCGCTCAGAGACTCCTTGAATGGGGCAGGACATAGGACAGTGTCACACAGATGCAAGGAATCCCAGACTCCTATTGTGAGGGCACACCCTTGCATGGCCATTGCTCTGCTCACTGCCCCGCCACGCCCACTGCCCCTGCATTACCACGCCCACTGCCCCTCCCCTGCCCTGCCCACAGTCCCTGCATTGCCCCTCCCACCCCTTCCCCTGCCCTGCCCACTGTCCCTGCATTGCCCCGCCCACCCCTTCCCCTGCCCCACCCACTGTCCCTCCACTGCCCCTCCCTGCCCCGCCCACTGCTCCTGCCCCGCCCCTGTTGCAACGCACCCCCAGGCCCTTGCAGGCCGCTTCCTGGCAGCATCCACTCTACTGGACAGCAACGTTTCCACCACAGATTCTTCCGCAGTGCCTTCGGCATGGCTGATTTGGTCTTGTGCTTTTGACTCGGTGGGACCGGTAGACAGGACTGAGCCGGACGGTCACTGTAGCGGTGGCCTTTCCACCCCAAGCTCCGCTGCGACCTCTGTGAGCGGAGCCTTATCTGATTCGTGGCTTTGTGTGGGTCCCCAGCAGTTCCTGGCATCTGAAAGGCTCTCTGTGACTAGTGAATGCCATCTAAATCCTAGCCATGGTCATAGGAGGTCAGCCGGATTGTCCCCTCGGGTAACAAGACGATGTGGTGGTGAGAGATCCCGACTGGTCCAGAGCAAAGGTCTCTGGACGGCCGATGCGCAGGTCCGTGCTCTTTCACTTCCAGCAGCCTCTTGGAATCCCCACCAGAGAGGGATTTGCTCTCGCAGGGAGGGATTGTCTGGATTAAACGTGTCTAGACATCTCTCTCATCTTAATGCGGATTTATTCAGAGCAAGTCAACATCTTGCAGGCGGCAGGAAAATGAAATCACAGCGCCAACATCTGCCTTCCAGCGTCCTCCTCTGTGCTGGCCACGGTTCTCCTGGGTTCTAGAAACAGCCCTGAAACCCCTTCCCTCCTACCTTCCCTTCCCTCCTTCCAGCAGAACACAGAACTGGGTTTCTCCCTCTGCGGTTTCCCCGGGGGAGGAAGGGTTTATTTGGGGTCGTTGACAGTGGGAAGGCCTCTTGCTGTGGCCTCTGTCTTGATGGTATCTGAGCTGCACCCCATGTACCAGCAGGGGGGCCTGAGGCTAGTTTTCAGCTCTGTTGGTGGGGGCCTGGAGATCAGGAGGGCTCCCCACTCAGTCGGACCCTCCTTTCCCAGGCCGATGCTTCTCCCAGTTTTGTGAGGACCCGTGCATCCAACCTGAGTGTCCAGCCTGCTTTTGAGCACCCAGGAAGGTGCTTGCTGGTGAATCTAGCTTTGCCTGCTGTCCCCACCCTCTTCCCCACCACTCTAGCTTTGTCCTGTGGCCCTGCTGGACTCCAGTATTGGGCCTGTGGCACCACTGACGAGGTAAAAGGGAAACCTCCAGCACAGGAAGCTACTCGGTGGCCCTCAGCAGACCAGATGGCACAAGTGTCTCTGGGGACAACCGTCACACCTGTGAGCTCTCTGCTCGGTGCTAGTCTCTTGGCAGGTTGGGATATGAAGTGTCCCCCCAAAGCTTGTGTGTTAGGAGGTGCCGAGCATTCAGAGGTGAAATGACTGGATCATAAGAGCTGTCCCCTCGTCGGTGGACTAGTGTGTTTGATGGGTTAAGATTGAAGGCGTGCTGGGTGGGAAATGCAGGCAGATGGGGCATGACCGGAGGTTACTGGGACACGTGCCCTGGAGACTGTGTCTTGTCCCTGGCTCTGGCTCCTGTCTCTCCCTCTTTCCTTTTCCCAGCCGCCCTGAGCTGAGCAGCTTTCCACTGCCGTGCCCTCTGCCACCATACCATGGAGTCGGCCAACCATGGACTGAGACTCTGAAACTCTGAGCCCAAATCAACTTTCCTCCTCTATGTTGTTCTTGCTGGTCACGGTGATGAAAATCCAACTAACACAGCTATGGTAAGCTCTGTGGAGACAAGAGCCTTGTCCTACCAGTGACTGGTTTGGGTCCCCAGCATGGTTCCAGGCACCTGGAAGGGCATCGTGGACCCTCGATGGCAGCTGCAGTCTTAACAGTAGTCATGTGAGGTGGATATGATTGGTCCCCTTATATGTTGGCACTTGAACCGTGGCATTTGGGGAGGGGAGGAAGAGGAAACTGATTCTAAGAAATGCACAAAAGACTTTGCATTTTGTCCTAGGGTACATCTAAGCAGATTATAATATTAAAACAGCATTTTAAAAGAATAGCTGTGCTTCTGTGTGCCAAGCTGTAACCTAGTCAACGCTAAATCCTCCCGGAGAAGGTAATGTGCTGATCTATGTTTTAAAAACCAGGAAAGTGAGGGTGAGAGAGGCTCCCAGTTACTCAGCTCTCGGTGGCCAAGCTGGGATTGGAACCCTGCTCTGCCTGATGGCACAACCATGAGCTTCTCCTGCAGATTCCCTGCTCTGCTTACAGGAAGGGTGTCTCCAGAGCCCTGGAGCTGGCCCTGGGCCTGGGCCTGAACCGAGCTCTCTGTGAGCATGTGCATCCCCGTGCAGGCAGCAAAGGCTCTCCCAGAGCATGTGCTGTTGTGAAATTTATTCTGGTGCCAAAAGGGGGGTTGAGTGAGACCTAAAGACCCAGTGCACCAGCTCACACGCTCCACTGATAAGCCCGACTGTGAATGGCGACATATGCAGCCTGTAATGAATAAGAGAGAGATTTATTAGAGGATGTCATATTTGGTTAAGTACTTTATATGTAGGACGAGAGCTTCCCTTGTACATATTACATTTTCAATGGGTTTCCAACCATTTTCAATCCATTATTTTTAACTCCTTGCATTATATTGATGGTAAATTAATGACAACAATTACAAGTCAAAACCTCATATTGTCCAATTATAATTTAATTCATTTTAGCTGCTCTCTTTGAGTCTGGATAAAAAGCGGAAGCACTTTAGACAATGTTGTAATTTCCTCTAAAATCCTGTCTTTGTGTTCCATGCTTCTCTGGTGGCTCGAGGACAGAATGGAGATTCAGCTGTGGGTCTGGCTGCCTCCCAGGTGACACTCCTCAGGACAGCCGGTAGGCCTGGGCTTGGGGCCAGATTCCACACTCTGCTAGCCGTTGTGACCTTGGACAGGTACATAATCTTCCTGTGCCCGTTTCCTCCTCTGTAGGGTGGTGTTAGTGACAGAATTCCTACTTCCGGGGGCCAGGCTGGAGATTAAATGAGTTAGCATAGCTGGTAACCCTAGAATTCACAGTGGGTCCCCCAGAGGTGTGGGCTGCAGGAGAAGAAGGGCAGGTGGGCTGCTTTCATGACCCCATTCCAGGAATGTTTTCCTGGGGCACAGTGTGAAAACACACCCCAAGACCCAGTCTGAGCTCAGCAAAGAGAGTGCAGGGATTGATTAGTGATGTCTGCCACGGCCACAACTGTTGGGAGAGGGGAGAGTGAGGACACAAGCGCTGTGAGGGCTGAGGTCATGCTTGCTGGATTCTCCTATACTTGCAGCTCGGCATTTGAGCCCTGTGAAGCTATGTTACAGTGGCGGTGATGTCCTGGCAGTTGCCACGTCTGGGGCCAGTCCTGCCCTAGCTTCCCCCTCCGTCATATAGCCAACAAATACCCCTGCTTTCTGCATCAGCTGGTTTGGCCTGGGTTTTCTGCTGTGGGGCCTAAAATGTTCTTAACTGGTCCCATCAGGAGCCATGTCCTCATGAGGGGCTTGGTCTAGACCATCTCCGTGGCTGGCAGCGTCAGGGCGGGACAGCCTGATGCACGGCTCTGCTCTTGGAAACAAGGTCCCCAGACCCACATGTCCAATCCATTATGTCTTCAGCTCAGAGAAGCTCAGAAGAAGGCTGCGAAGGTCTTCCTGGTCACTTGCTGGGGTATTGTTAATGTCATGGGCTGCCTTTCAGGGAAGCCGTCCCTAGCCCTGGAGGGTCCCCTCCCATAGCCAGGGACCACCCTAGTCTTTGTCTCTCTGGGGCGATGTCAGTCTCCTGCCCTCACCTTGCATGTGCCGGGGACATTGACTGCTGTCATGAGCCGAGGTCTCCCTTCCAAGTCAGGGCCATGTCTTACCATGGCTTGGTGCCCAGCTCCCATAGATCCTGGGTAAAATGACCCAAACGCAGGGTGATGAAGTTCTTTAAGGATCTGGTGCCTCGTTTCCCAGGTCCATCTGTTCAGGCTCGCTGGGTCAGGTGGTAACCTGTGATCCTCTGTCTCTTTTTCTAGCTCCCGGGTTGTATTCAGACCCCCCTCCTTTCTCCTGCAGTTCTTTTCCCCTGGAATCTCTTCTATTCTCCCACCTGCTCCACTGCCACCGGCCTTCCGACCCAGCCCTTGCCGAGGGTGGGTTCTGACCTCATGGTGCATCCTCACATGGGCCCTGTCCTTGAGATTTCCCAGGAGTGAAACCTCCCTAAGGCCCACCAGGTCTCTTATCCATCCCTGTAGCTCTTGAACCTCAGACGGGGAGATGCCAGCCAGGCATTGTTGGGGAGCCCCTGGCCACAAGCAGAGAGCTCCGTGGGGCCGAGGTGTCATGTGTTTTCCTGAGCGGCCCCTCCCTTCTCCGCTCTCTGACTGGGACTTGCTGGGCGCCTGGTGCCTGGTTGTGCTCACGGCTGGACTGAGTCATTTTCCTGCAGGTTGACACTAATGAGAACAGCCAGGCTGCTGGAGCGCTGTGTCCCAGGCTGGGCTCTTAATCTCCCTATTGTGCCTGGCTCAGCATGGTGGTGACACAGAACTCGCTGGCCCGGGGCCAGGGGACTGTCAGCAGGAAGACCAACAGGATGGAATTAAACCCCATGATTATTTTTTTCCTCTCTTCTTGCCCAGCGTGGCCGGCAGATGGAGGCGGCTCCCATTGTTTCCCTTTCTCTTTTATTTTGGCAGGAGGCTGCTTTTCCCACCAGACCCCCAGCCAAGACGGAGCAAGAGGAAAAACAGACCCACAGAGGAAGGAGGACGGGAGCCGAGAGCAGGGACAAGGGGCGGAGGGCTTCTGGGCCAGGCGGGGAGGAGGGTGCTTATTTATGGGGCGCCTGCTCCCAGGGTCGATTGGACCACGACATCCACCAACTGCAAAGAAACATCTTGTGTTAGGGGCTGGGGCTGGGGCTCAGCGACAGAGCACTCGTGTAGCACGTGCGAGGCCCTGGGTTCGATCCTCAGCACCACATAAAAATAAATAAATAAAATAAAGGTATTGTGCCCACCTACAACTAAAAAAAATATTTAAAAAAAAGGAGCCTCTTGTGCTAGTCTGCCTGGCCCCTGGGGAGGGCACCACTGTCAGGCCTCCCTGGAGGTGTGTTCGGCTCCCCCCAACCTGCGGAGGTGACCTGTGGACATGTACCTCAGCTTCCTTGAGGGTGACGTGTGCAGGAACAAAGCCAATACCTGTGCCGCTTGAGTGCTGCTCTTGTAGTCTGGAAGCAGCGTTTTCCAGGGCAGCGTCTGCATGGTGCAAGTTGCAGGCGAGGGAGTCAGTTTGCTTTGGGATCAATAGGTGTGGCCTCCACGGGCAGGGAACTCAGGGCTTCCTTTTGAATTCCAGAGGACACAGGACAGCTCCATCTCTAAAGGCCCAGCCCAATGGAACATGGCAGCTGGGCAGGGGTTTTGCTTCTAGGCTGACTGTTTTTGCTCCAGGAATAATAAAGACCTTCTCGATGCGAAACAGCTCAGTGTTAATCTTGCAGAAATATGGGGGATCTGAATTGTGGTTCCAGCTGCCTCGGCTGCTTCCTCTGCTGGTCAATTCCTGGTCACCGTATGAAGTCCAGAAGGGCCACTCTTAAGGTCTGGACCAGGAATGTCCCCCCAAAAGCTCAGGGGTGGAAAGCATGGTCCCCGGTGCAGCAAGATGCAGAGGTGGGGCTTTTAGGCAATGATTGGATCATGAGGGCTCTGACTTCCTCAGTGGATTAATCCATTAAGTGGATTAATTAATCCATTAAGCCATTGATAGCTGACTGGACTGCTGGGAGGTGGGCCCTAGTTGGAGGATGCAGGTCACTGGGGGTGTGCCCTGTAAGGGTCTATTTTTTCCCCTAACCTCCCCCACTTTTGCTGGCTGCCATGAGCCGAGACACTCTCCTCTGCCATGTTTTCTGCAATGCAATCAGCTGTCCGTGGCCTGCGACCTCTGAAATGATGAGCCAAAATTAATCTTCCCTCCTCTAAGTTGTTCCTGTCACGTAAGTTGATCCCAGCAATGAAACCCTGACTAACACGGACACCACTGTGGAAGGCCCTCCTCCACTGCCGGGGGGGATCCCCCTCCTCTGTGTATCTGGCCACCCACACCCTGTGCCTCCCGGAGAGGACAGTGCGGTGCTGAGCCACAGCGCCTGTCCTGTATTTCTGTGTCCCTTTGGTCACTGGAAGTGTCCAGCAGAGATCTCTTAAGGACTACGGGTTCTGAACAAAATGGCTCTGTGTGGAAAGTCAGAGGTTAAGGACACATGGAAGTTAAAGAGAGAGCTCTGCAGGATGGTTTCTGCCCAAACACGGACTTAAACAATCCATGGTGGATCCTGGATGACTCTGCCCCCTCCCGCTGACCTCACCCACCCGCCCAGGTGTTCATCACCTACGCAGGCATCCAGTGGTCTGCCTTTGGTGGCTTACAGTGGTCTCTAATGACATGTGCTCAAGACCAAGTGGTGCACACAGGAGGAAGAGAAGTAAATGCTGCCCTCCACCCTGAGACCAATGTTCGGCCTCTCTATTTTAAAGGCTTTTAATGAGGGCGTTACAGTTATCTATAATGTTAGGAGGCTCATTTTGACATAATTATCCAAGCATGGAATTTAATCTGCTCCAATTCAGTCCCCAGTATTTCCCCTTCCTCCTCGTTCTCTTTTCTGTATTCTACTGGTATTTCTTCTGTTTATTTTGGGGTTTAAAATTAGGGCATTACAGATATACATTAAGGTGAAATTGACTGTGGTTTGGTCAGTTTGGTTCCAAGGTTGCTCCTTTCAATCCCTCTTTTGATGGACTTGGGGATCAGAGGGCAAGTGTTCATAGAGTGTCTTCTCTGGGCTGGCTCTGAGCTGGTCATAGAGAAAGCACTCATGCACACTCGCAAGGCACAGTCTGTGGCTTCCAGAACAAGGGAGCTGGAGAGAGGAGAGGCTCTGTTTGGAGAGCCCTGGAGCAGACCTCCTTCCCTTTCTCCTGGAGAAATGCACCAGGAGAGGGCAAGCCAGGTGACAGGGAGCCTCTGGAAAAGGAGCCACACACACTGGGCATGGAGGAACAAAGACATCCCAAGCTAGTCATGGGAAGGGATGGAGAGGTTTGTGGGAGAGGAGGTGTTTTATCCATCTGGTGGGAAAGATGTAATTTTATATCCCTATCAAAGAGTCATTTCAAAGGATAGAATGGAAAAAGTATTCAGGAATGAAAAGTGAATATTGTTCCTATCTGCATCCTGAAGTCCGCAGGGCAGACTCCACTGATATTCAGTTTCTGGTTTTTCTCTTGGTGACCACCATAAGTCTGCATGAAATCCCTGGGTCTGTGGGAGCTTGGCCCCAGGACCTCCTCTGGAATGCACTTTGCTCAGGCTCTTGTATAAAATTAGACAGTATTTGCACACCACGACCCTCTCCTGTACTTTAAATCATTTTTAGATGATTAATCATCCCCACAATGTCAATAGCTGTTCAATTGTATTGTTTGTGGAAAAAACAAGGAGAAAATTCTGTGCACGTTCAGTATAGACGCAGTGCTTTTCCCTTGGGAATATTTTTGGTCAGCAGTTGACTTGAATTGAAGATGCAGAACCCATGGACACAGAGGGATGACTACTCCACAGCTAATTCTGGATCCACAAGTTCATATGGTGAATGCCAATGCTTCCCCTGGGATTAGGACCAAGGGATACACACATGACCCTGTCATTAGGGTTGGCAAAAGTCAATGAGGAACAGGAATCGAGGGTGGCAGGGTCAAGCCAATTCCAGGTTGTGAGGAGCTGTGCAGAGGCCCAAGGACACACGTCTCACCACCGAGTCAAGGTTGTTATTTGGCTGTGGTAGAAAAATAGTAGATATCCATTTTTCTCTCAATTTATGTGCACTATTTTTTCTGAATGGTAGCATTTATTTTTTTTTTCAGGTGGCCACTAAACATTAAGGTGGTTAGGTCTAACCAAACAGAACCAAATGTTCTTTTTGGCCTAGTAAAAAAGTTACCAAGTCACTAAAATGACACGAATTTGGAAAGTCTGGGAACTCCTGGCATGACCTCTATTCTAGAAACTCCTTCTGGCTCTGTGTAGGGAGATGGGCGGGCAGAAGCAGTGAGATGGGACAAGAGATCATTGAAGTAGGTCCCCTGAGCCACAATGGTGGCAGTGACCAGGGAGGGGACCCGAGAAATGTGGAGAAGTGAACTACTCTCCGGCGTGGGCAGAGAGCCACAGAGGCTGCTGCTGTTGGAGGGGAGCTTGGAGAGCCAGGTGGAGGTTGACGCCATCTGCCGAGGTGGCCTGAGAAGGGAAGGTGTGCAGGGCTCAACCCCTGGGGGGTGTTTGGCTGCAAGGAACAGAAAGCCCTGACTCCGCTTGGTTCAAACCACGATTTGGAGCAGAGGAAAGGGATGGGTGGGGAGGGAGGAGGGATGGGAAAGAGAGAAATGGTGGCATAACGCTGACCCGAGTCTGCTCTAAACATGTACAAACATACCACAATGGATCTCAACACCCCTGTATCCATAATGCACCAATTAGAAAACACATAGAAGAAAGATCAGTAGAGTAGGGTCCATAGAGGAAGGGGACAGAGGAGGGGGCCAGGGAGGGAAAGAATTTGGAACTGAATTGGAGAGAATTATACTCCATGCTTGTATGATTATGTATTAAAAAAAACACAATTTTTTAATAAATTAAAAAACACAATTTTTTAATAAATTGTGTTAAAAATTTAACACAAATTTTAAATTTGCTTAATTTAGCAAATTAATAAATTTGCTAAATTTATTGCTTAATAAAGCTTGGCCCTGGAGGTGGTCATCAACTCATGTGGCAATTTCCTTGTTGGGTGGATTCTCCCAGGATCCTCTGGGGTGTTGGTGTGGACGCAGGGAAAGCTAGTAGAGCCAGTTGGCTCTCCAGGGTACTGAGGCCAGGATATGCAAGGTCATTCTTACGGCTTTTTTGACTAGCTGACGGTGCAGATAGATGCTTCAGGAACCACCCATAACAGTGGATTTCAGCCCTGGGTCCACACCAGAAGTTTTAAAATACACTGGTGCTGGTGTCTCATTACTAGTGATTCTGAATGGATAGTTCTGGGAGTGATTTGGGCACTGGGAATTTTAAAAGCTCCCCAAAGCTGGGGAATCACTGAACTGAGAGAGAACCACTCAGAACTCCATGCTGCTGCGGGCAAGAGGCCGTGAAGATGAAGTGTTTCCAGTCCCCGGGTGCACACTCCTGCTGAGGGCTGCCACCCGCGAAAGGCCGAGGTCTGCGTCTTGGTGCCGAGTGCCAGCTCATCGGTGGGCTCCGTTTTAGCTCTGGACTTGCATTTTGGAAATCCAGCCAGTCGAGCACAAAAACGTAAATCAGAATCTGTTCTTTCTTACAATAAAGTGTTATTTTTTTCTCCTTAGCTAAAAGAAAAAAAAATTGGTTCTACATCACTTTTAGACTATACTGACTCAGATAATGGAATTTCGACTAAAGTCAAATTGCTTAATTAGACAATAATATCAGAGAAATTGACCATTATAACTGGTTACTGACTTTTCAGATGGCCTGTATTACCATTTATATTCTTTCTACTTGGGATTTTAAGCATGAAAATAATTTATTGAAAGATTGTTCTTAGAAGCTATTTTAAATAGCCTAATGGCTTTTTAATTTCCAAATCGTTTATATTCATCAGTCAGAGCTGAGAAAGGACACAGATTGAGTCCCATTGTGTGGTTGGTTCTTCCTCTTCCATTATTAATTGGTTATACTTGGAGGTAAAGCTGTGGGGAGCAGGATTTCCCCTCATTTCTGATGTCAGAATTACACCATGGAGGAAATGAACTGGAAGCCATAAAAATAACATAAAAATGCTGTTTATTGGGTGGGTACTCTGTGCTGGATCATTCATGGACCCCACGTCTAACCCTCTCAACAGCCTTATAACGTTGGTATTATCATTTTCACTGAGCAGACAGGGGTGTGTGGCTCAGGACATTGTCAACGTCATTGTGGCTGATGCACGTTGATGGGAGGCCATACATTGCAGTTTATGCTGTGTCTCTGTGTAATTTTAAACAATGTTCCCTTTTCTTCTTTAAGTGACCCTAGGAAAGGCAATGGACTAAATGGTCCCTTAGTAGACATTTTCCAGGTGCCACGCCCTGTGCCAAGCACTTCATATGCACTTCACATTTGAACCTGACAGCGGCCAATGGTACTTTAATTTTCCTTCCTTGGGAGATGAGGAAATTGAGGCATTAAGAGTCAAGTTCAAGGTCAGTTATGTGTATAAAATCACAGAACTGATTAATGATAGAGCTGGGCTTGAGTCTGGGCAGCATCATCCCTGATCCATTCTATTTCTGCTACACTGAGCTGAATATCAATCAATGTTATGATTTCAAAAATATGGACCAAGAAATTTCCACAAGATGAGTTATTGGGTGAAAATAGCCAAAACACTATTATAA